TCAAATTAACAAAGTACTTTCGTAAAAGTATACGCATGTTTGATACGGCTTTATTTTAAAACCAGTTAGTAAGATTTAACCCAAACTTAAAAAGAAAAGTTAAGGAATAGAGTACAAATGGACCAGTTTCAATTTTAACAAATTCCATAAACATATATCTATATGATTTTTGTAAGTGTAATTTAAAAAAAAAAAAAAAATCATTATATTTGTTATGATCCTCTTGTGAAGGGCGGTAATGCGTACCGAAAAAGGGTTGGATCTGGGTGGGATAAAACCCAGCTATGCGGATGATCTGGCCCTGTTAAGCGAAGAAACGGAAACTAGATAAGACAAAATATATGGTTAGCTGAAAAAATAGCGATATTGCCGGTGATATTTATATTTGAACACGTAAAAAAGTTAAGGTATCTAGGGTCTACGATAACTAGAAAAAAAACGAAATTGAAGAGGGGATTAAGGTTAGGCTGAAGGCGGGAAATGCTGGTTATTTTGTTTTTGTCAAAACTACTTAGCTCGCGCCTCTTGTCTCGGAACTTAAAAACTAGAATCTATGAAACCATTATCTTACCTAAAGTTCTTTATGAATTCGAAACGTAGCCGCTTACATTAAGGGATGAACAACGTCTTAAGGTTTTTGAAAATAAAATATTGCGTAGAATATTCGGACCGAAGGAGGATGAGTTCATATAATTGATGTGATTACATCGCGGCGAATCAAATGGGCTAGTAAAATTGTTGGGCTTAGTAATGAAAGAATTACTAAAAAGCTAATATTTGCTGTACCGAATGGTAAACGTCCGGGGGGTACACCGAAGCGAAGGTGGGAAGATTGCATTAAAGAAGATCTGAAGGGACTAGGTTTGGACGGCGAACGGTGGAGGGAGGGGTGTAATAAGCGATTGGTGGTGTCGGCATCGAACATTCGGGTTCGCTAAGCCTTTTATTATAACTCATTACAAATAGTGAGGAAGCTATATTGAACGAATTAGAATTTTTTTTTCATTATAAATTGTTGTTTTCTTTTGTGTGTTTATTCTATCTTCATGAAAACTCTCTATCATCATAAAAATGTATATATTTTTTTTATATTATCATAACAAAATATTTTTATACAGTATATTAAAAAAAAAAAATGAAAGCAATGATAAATCAAGACTCATAATGGGACTACAGATTTCTTCACAAAGAAGCTAACCACAATGGGAGCTCTGGATACAGACCGAGCCATTAAACTCGTGCATCTGTTAGCCCCAACTGTACCATCCTCACAATGTCATAACATATTTTTTTCTAAATTATACTTCATATCGACCAAGTACCTATCGACAGTTACAGTCATGACACACATGCAGCCACTTCTATAGATGACAGCGACTACCGCGATAGCTTTTGATTGAGTTTATGTTTATAAGGTTATGTGAAAAAACACAAGGATTAATAATTTGAAAACACAGACATGAGTTAATCAGGCTTTATACTAACAAAGTTATTTACGCAAATGATATTGTTTAAAACTTCATAAACAAAATCTAAAAGCAGCGCCAATAAAACCTCTTCACTATTTCAATAGATTACAATAGTTATAATTACATTGAATAGAATTTCAAGAACGACTTAAACACCATTCTATATAGTTAATTAATTTTTGTCTTTTTTTTCAAATTAATTATCGTTATACTTAAATGAAAAAAAAAATCTTTCGGGATGAAACCCCACCCAAAATGAAGACATGGATCCGCTAGCGGTTGGAATGAAGGATCTATTAGTCACTCGGGATAGAAAGTGGTTGTCGAACGTAGCAGTTTTATGTGGAGAAGGATAGCAGTAAGAAGGACCAGATCGGGTAAAACGGAATTGAAAAGGAAAGATTTAAATAGTAGAAACTGTAGGGTATAGGAGGAGTGCTAAGTTCTGATTACCTGATACAGGTAGTTAAACTCTGTGTAATATTGGGTTGTATTATATATATGCGTATCCCTGGCAATCCCGAAAACATTTAAACATATATAGTCTTGTAAATAAAATACGCACACCTAAGCAAAAGAAATAAGATGAAATTTGATAAAATTGATATGGTACCATTTAAGTATCAATACTCACTAAGTTTTAAAAAATCTAATTTCCTTATAATTACTGTACAATTCTAAACTCCATTTCTATATGTTCATTGAATGTTTCGTTTCAGAGCCATTATTATTTTAATAATCAGATAATCAATTTAATTTTAATTATTAAAAGTAATTTAATAAAATTGATACTAAACTATTTGTTCACTATTTCCAAAAATTTTTCTAACTTTGAGTCAACCAGAATGTGTTTTTTAGGAATATTGTTCTATATTTTTTTTTCATAATTAGTTTTTTGAAGTAGTGGTTGTGTTTAATGCTACTTATTATGCCACAAATAAAATAATTCATAATTTCATATAATATATTATGCGAAACGGACATCCATTATTCCATACCCTCTAGTTCCTAATCTTGCTTCTCGATTAATCACTGGTAATTTCCTAAGGCAAAAGAAAAGAACATGGTCTCCAGACCTTTGGACACATACATTTTACAGGAGAGCTACGAATGAGTTATTACAGTGAAAGCCAACAAGGTTCTTGTCATACCTTATCGATCAGAGAGAACATTCTGTATATATTTCAACATATTGAACTTCAGTCCACAAACTCCATTCCCGATGATTCATAAGAATTCGGAAACGCTGAGCTCATGTTCGGAAAGTAGTGGGATTTCCCGGAGAGTGTGTGAGAGAGTTCAAAAGGAGAAAGAACCATTGTTCCGTGGTGGGGGAATAGAATTCCTTTTCGAATAACTGGTTCATTATATATTCATAAATCATTCTTAGTATTAATTATTTATTATTGTTACATTTTGAGTAAAAGAGGATGTTTACACTACCCAGTTTACGCTGCCTAAATATTATTAAAATCTTGTTGCATAATACTTAACTATACATATTAAATTAATTTAATTCTAAAACATTACATTTATATTATTTATTTTTTTTTTTTTTTTTAGTAAAAGATAATGATTTTATAATTATGTGATGCGTTTGGATCTCCTAAACAAGTTATAACGATTTCATTTTTACTTAATGTTATCAGTGAGAATGTATTAAATGTTATCACAAGTAAAATATATTTTTATTAAAGCATCTTCCAAAGTTAAATTCCTACCACGTAAAAAAATCAGATTGAGAATTGCTTTTTATGATGAAAAAAGTGTTGTCTTGAAATTAAATTTAGAAAAGTTAAATCTTTGTAAATATTAGTTCAGTAGTTTTAATGATTTGCGGTTTACGGGAAAAAATAAAAGAGCTTTTTTTTCTTCCGTTTCATTTTTTTTTTTTATCGTTTCCACATGTCTGCATTTGTGTAACAACAAATATGACGTATTAGTGTCATTATTAAAAACAGCAACATCAATACAAGAACACTATAAAATAGAACATTATTAAGTACAAGTAGTGTATATACTATATAGGTGTGCATGTGTTTTTTGCTTAGTTTTAATTTTCTTATTTTTAGGTTATTTTATTTTATTTATTGTATATACCTTTTGATTATTATTTATTGTTATTTTGATTCTATTTATTTTATATTTGATGTACATATAGTGTGAATTTTATCCTACCTCACTATAACTAGTGTCCATGTGACAGATTTTTGTGATACTCAATAAATAAAAAAAATAAAAAAAAAAATTAATACAAGTATTAACAGCAGACAGTTGACAATATTTTTAAATTTCGTTTTTCATTGGTTTTAGCACCTGTTCAGAGAGTAGCGCAGAAATCTCCTAGAGTCCTGCTTTTCTCTCTACAGTTGGTGGGACTTAAATAAAACGTATTTTTTATTCTGATTGATGTTCTCTAACAGGGCTTAAATGACTAATTTTCAATATTAGCTTCCCCTAAAGTACCTTTTTTTTATTTGAAAAAATTGACCGTTTCGCATTAATTCTCAATATAAAAGATAGTTAAATATAAAATATGAAAGAAATTGATAATTAACTAAAGGAGAAATAAGAGATCGTAACAGAGAATAGTTGTAATTGAGGAACCGAAGGAATACGAGCGCACCCGAGCTCGCCCGAAAGATTAGAACACGCTTCCATATTTAACATGAGCTTAATATAATACGGATTCCGACAATGTTATAAAAATGTACATATGCGGTTTTCATAAATGCTATTGTTGGTATTATTTAATATTTAATTGTATAGATTACTGCGACATAAATATTAAAACTTTTTCTTCGGAAAATTATAGACGCACCCTTTTATGTTTCGAACCTCACGTTACACACTGACCTTAACATTTCTTTCATCACGGCAACTGCCACTGACCGACTTAATAATTTTCATGACAGGCTGACTCTAAATTCCAATCCACTTACTCAAGCTCTATCTACAGCCATAAATCCATATAATCCGCCCAGAAGACTGCTGAGGAGCTGGCCAAGAGACTTTAACTACTAGCTGTATTATCTTTTTTTTTTGTGTTATCATTTATTGATGATATTTGCTGAATACCGAAGTAGATGGCAAATTTATTGTGACCCAGGAATATATGTGTAACTAATAAATGAATAAATATCTTTAAGGGATTTTTGATATGTGTAACACGATTAACGATATACCTTTATTTAATTTTATACATAAATACTTAGCCAACTGGCCAAATTACTAAAGCTAACAAATAGAGACAGATGCAACACAGTGGAAAGGATCATTAGTTATTCTCTCGAGTAGGTGCGGGTTCTATTCTCGAGCACCATACCATAAAAGTGTGCTGAGTCAATTATTGCTCCATAACTGGCACAATGGAGTAGGAGGGGTGTCGCCAATTCGGTCGCCTACTGCGAGCAGATGTTCGCAAATAGTAAATGACATCTTCGATTCTATTTGATTTTCGAGAGATCGATTATCCTAAATCGTGGCGAAGAGGTTACGTAAGAGGCCGCGAACAATAGCGTACAGGCGCGGATGGAAACCGAATCCCTCGAGTGGAGGTCACAAGTCCCCTTCACTTCCTGCGATCGGCTCAGGGTCAAGTGCAGGGGATCGTCCCTTCGGGAACAGGGATCATCAGGGGATAATTTAGGGAATAACTTTAGGGGATAATGAAAATCTATTCAGTTATATTTCTAATCGCGTACTGAAGATATTACTCAAAGGATCAGTTACTCACTATAAAAAGATAAAGGAAAAATAAACAGAAATAGCCAGAAACATAAATGATATTTTTCAAGTGAAACTTCTTTATTCCGAAGGTATATACATTTTTTTTTATTATTACTAGCAGGCCCGTGGGGAAAATTCGCACAACATATTGTTAAGTGATCAAATGCCAAATTGATAAGAAAATAAAATAATGCAACCTATCATAAGATAAAGAAATCAATTGTTACTTTATCGATAAATATAATCGACAAAGGAAAGTAAATTAATTTAAAACTTCATTAATATTTGGAACCAACATGTTTACAAATTTCAATAAGCTGTATATTTGCTAAAAAATTGCCCGATTTCGATTTTTTTTTTCTTCCTTTTGTAGAGAATTTAGTAATCTTTTATATAATCATGGACATAGCCAAGGAAAAAGTGTGTAATTTTTGAATTGTTCACAAATAAAGTTTCTTTTGTTACATAAATGCTTTGTCTGAATTTTCGGGTTGGTAGTACTATTTTGCCCGCCTGAAGGAGAACGAAGCCTTCAAAATTGGTGAATCAATCTTGGGATTTGCTGAAGAATTAACGATGATATGGCTTGCCGATCAAAAAAACACCTTTGATAAATAATATAAACTTCTCTCTCGATCTCAAGTCCTCTCAAGCACTTCAAGCCGACGAAATGAGACATGTATTCAATGAGAGTACTACAATTAACGTAAGGTTGTGTGTATGCTAACCCTTTATCTTGCGTTATCTCGAAAATAGTACGTTTTTGGGCTTAAAATGCAGGGCCAGATAGTTCCCTCGAAACTACTACTATTAGTAGTTTTTCACTAACGCCAAAAAAGTTTATGCCACTTTTTTTGTCTAAAATATGATCAAGAAGTCATTTCTGATCCATGTTGATAAGCATTTTATTTTTGGACATACTGTATAAATAGATGTAAATAGATATAAATTGATCGGGAAGCCATATCATCGTTAATTCTTCACCAAATCCCAAGATTGAATCACCAATTTTGAAGGCTTCGTTCTCCTTCAGGCGGGCAAAATAGTACTATCAACCCGACAATTCAGGCAAAAAATTTATGTAAGAAATGAAACTTTATTTGCGAAATTAAAAATTCTAATTTTTAGTTCCGAGACAAGAGCGCAGATACATAAAGATTATATTCTCTACAAAGGAAAAATAACAAGCATTCCCGAATCGAGCAATCTTTAGCATAATAGATAAATTTCTTCAATTTGTTTTTTGGGGGTTCCCCTTACAAATAGAGCCTAGCTTGGCTATTGTAGAATAATATGGTTTTACAAGTTACATACATATCATTTAAATATAAATAAACTTTACAATATTTTCCGATTATAATGGGTTTTACAAAGCATGAAAAACAATAAAAGTTAAAAACATAAAACGATTACTGCAAAATGATAGTTAAATGAACCTGTTACTATGATAGAACAATAAAAAATAAAAATATTTATATATACAAACAAAATATTACTTTTAACATAAACTAAAAACAAACACTTAATATAACATGGGCTATGATCAACAATTTTGTGAATGTACTTTGTGTACTCCCATCATATAATAGTAAACTTTGTTTACTTTATCTATACAGTCGATATTCAATATAGTTTCGATGTTGTGGTTATCAGAAGATTCTGAGATGAAGTTATGGAGGAATTTTTGTCTATATTCATTGTATGCTGGGCAGTGAAGGAGAATGTGATGTAGACTATTGTGGATAAATTGACTGCATAATATACAAATTTCTTGAGACTCGATCGAAAAAGTTGTGGTTTTTGCATAAATTCTGATTTGTTCTGAATTTGCAACTCTTAATTGACTAACACATCTCAATTTCTTTATATGAACTTTAAATGTAAGGTACGCTTCGGGATCGGGAGCATTGCAACTGCATAATATTCTGTATAAAGGGTAGTCAGTTGAGTTTAAAGTTCTTTGAATGTCGGCTGAGAAATAATGACATACTGTATAAATATGCACTATTTATATCCACAATATGCATGAAGAAGAATGTTTTTCCTCTGGCTATGAAGATATGAAGACAAGCTCTGGAGAAATCTCCTGGAGACATTAAGGATAGGATACTCGACTCCAGATGACTTCACTACTTGATGACCACTTGACCTTTAGGCACCAGATCACAACTGTACCTACCACACACCCTGGGAGGTCCATACTATTCTTATATACTTCACACATTTATTTTACTTTTATATAAATATGTATATATTTTTTATAGAAATAGTGGAGTATATATATATATATATACATATATAATTATGCGATCAGTAAGGCAGGCAAAGGTTTCGGTCACTCCTGGAGGAACAGCATCAGCTGGAAAACAAAGGCTTGCCTAGGGTGCGGCGCTGTCCCTGAACTTAGTCTAATGTCAATTCTATAGTTCACCAATTTTAGGAACTGTTCTCATTTAGTAAATCTAGGAAAGGAAACATATCGATAAATGTATTTTTCGATTTATCACGTCTTATATACAACATCGATTAAATGATGCATCGAAAAGCGTTCATCCGTGCCACTTCAATAGCAATAGACATTATTTAATTTTTTTTTTAATTGAAAACTTCTTTAGGAGCGTTGGACTTTTTTGTGGAGAATGAATTAGAGTGATCCGTCAGATTTCGTTCGACATTAACGCTCGGGTAAAGTCGGCTAGAGTCGACTAAATAAAATATTTTTATTGAAGGAAGTTAGTATACTGTTCTACATATCATGGGTGATAAATATTCAGGACGCAGTCTTTTCAACGTTTCAGCCCAAACATGTGGGTCATCTTCAGGGCGTGGTTTGAGCACTGAGGGTGTTCAAGTACTCGTACTCCCTAAGTACCTTTCAGTATTTAGTACTTGAACACCCCTAGTTCTCAAACCACGCCCTGAAGATGACCCACATGTTTAGATTGAAACGTTGGCATAAATAAAAATTAAATAAAAAAAAAAATACTGCGTATCTTATATTTATCACCCATAAAATATTTTTACATATGGATTAAAATATCTTAGAAACTATAAATCGGGCCTGTATACTGTAAGTTAGGAAATTACAGTACCAATTTCATGCTCTCTGTAATAGACTGTATTTCAAAACTGTATCTTAACGCGACGTCGTGTTAGGGAGTCGAAAAGGAAAAAAATATTGTTGAGAACCAACGATAAGGTTAGTTCAACGTATGGGTTAAAATATTCCAGATACGAAAAATTGGATCTGTGTACTGTAAGCGAGGGAAATGTTCAGCATTTCACCTTCTCTGCAATTTGCTATTATTTATAATTTATATTTCATATTATTAATCCCGCCTTGTTGATGATTTTACTTACATCGTATGGTCTAAAGCACACACCTTACTTTTTTTTTATATTTAAATTTAAACATTTCAAAACCTATAAACTAAACATATACCAATATATTTATAGGAAACTAGGACCGAACAGTTATTGACGAACAGACAGTTATTTAATGCCTTTATTACTACAATGAAGACGTAATGCTATTCAACTGTGTTGAGCTGCTAACTGGCATAGCAATTCGTTTTTAAAGTTTTATTTATTCCTTTTTTATTTTACTTTTTTATTTTACAAAAATATTAAAAAATACCTTTTTTAGAAACAGAGGGATAGCATAAATTTATCAAGAGAGTAATATGTACCGGTTAATTTTTAAAGTATTTGCGAGAATGAGACAGTATGAACTGAAATCTATATAAATAAAATAAAGGTTTTGTCTGAACATTGAATAGAATCAACCCGTTTCATGATAGCTTTCAGTTTCATACGTTGCAGACACTTAATCCACTTTAAAAAAAATTTTAGTCTGTCTGTATGTCCGCATTGCAACGAAATTTTGTCAGAAGTAAGCTCAGCAATAGCTTATCGTAGACTTTTGAAATGTTTACATTATATTAAGGCTTGCTTGACTTAAAAAATAGGCTTTAAATGAAAACAAAATATTGAGTAGAACCAAAATTATGAATTCTTGAGTAATCTGTCTAGAGATCCCGGTTAGGCAGTTACTTACTTCGATATATCGAACTCATCCCAACCTATTCTACCGTGAATCACATTTAAAAGTTGTACTACTCAACTGATGGATATAATTACTATAACTCAACGGAAAAAATCCAGAATACCGAACATCTGTAACGCGTTGTCGCTTAAAACACACTCATTTTTCAACTTTGTCCGATCTTCCCGTTCAAGGTGTCATTCGATTCAACTTCCCGAGCCTAACAAATATTGTCTTATACATTTTAGGATTAATCAAATGAATTAGCCGCAATTTTTGCTATAGTAGAGTATATCGAAAAATTCCGAAATGTAAATATAATAAATCTAAAATTAAAATTATCAGAAAAAGATATAATTTTTATTAGAAATGTTTAAATAATGTATATGTCACCCTTTTTGATTATGCTTACTTCATCATTCCACACTTTGTAACGATTATTATTATTTATCTCTTAGTTCTTAGTCATTATTCTAACAATTTCATTTTACTTTATATTTATTTATTTTATTTTCTATTTTTTATTATTATTATTTTTTTACCATCTCTACTTATGTTTCTCATACCTTGTTATCTGGTTATTTTCTTAGCTCTGATGAAGGCCTGAACTTCAGGTCGAAACGTCGGCATATGTAAAAATAAATATTATCATTTATTTTTTCCTTCCTTTTTGACTGACCACCCCAACTATTCTTCTCTTCTTTATTAGAAATAGTTGAATATGACTTATTTATTCACTTTTTTTAAAAATTAAATTTCCATGCAAATTTGAGTAAACAACAATTTTTTTTGATTAACGAAATTTACAACTATAATTAATAATAAATACAACAAGTA